AATATACCTTCTTTTTTGTGCCACTTTTTTTCTTTTTCGTTGCTTTTTTCTTTTTTTTCACAGTTTCTCGTTTTCCTTGGAAAAGTGTTCGTTTCAGCAGCTGCGAAGCTAGCTTCATCAGAGATTTGATGACGCGCCGACGTCAATTCGCACGTTTGAACGCTGTTCGAAAAAGGCGTGGTTTACAGGCGTAAGCCTCGGGCAGGATTAACTCGGCCTGTGAAGGTGTCAAAGGTTTCAATATTCACGCAGATTAAGGACTTTCTACGCGTCGCCAAGTAAACAACCTTAATCCACTGGCAATTGTGCTATTTCTATTCGACGAACTCGAATTTTTCATACGTTCACGAGAATTTTCTTTTATTTCTTTTAAACAACGAAATTAATCAATCTTCGTTAACAATATTAAATTTTCATTCGTTTTCCACACAGCGTGGTAACAAAAAGAGAAAATAATATAATCGTAAACTTTAACAGTTTATACTTAAGACACGTAATAATTAAATTTTAATAAACATGGACACTAAATTCGATCCTTCAAAAGTAAAATTTTTCATACGTCCACGAGAATTTTCTTTTACCTTCTGTAAACAACGAAATTAACTAATTTTCACTAACAATATTAAGTTTCCATTGGTTTTCCACACAACGTAGTAACAAGAAGAGGAAAATGTATAATCGTATACTTTAACAATTTATACTTGAGACACGTGATAATTAAATTTCGATAAACATGGATGTCAAAATCGAACCCTCAGAAATGAAATTAACTTTTAGATATTTTAGAAAATAGGAGTACTTCAGAAGTACATTAAGATTTCTTTGTCCCACCCTGTATATTCCATGCATGGTAATTTCCTGCATCTGTCACTGTTCTCGATATTTCTCTCCAAAGAGTTAAAAACAAACAGAACCGTGTTCATCGATAAAACATTAACGTCGCGAAACTCGGAAACTGAAATTTTCCAAATTTGATATACACACCCCCCTCCGCAGTAAAGAACCATATGCATACATCGGTGTTTGGAAAGAAAATTTTTTTGGAAGCCATTCAAGAGTCGAAACTCGGTGGAAAAGTCGAAAAATTATTATTCATGAATGCGGAACTCGCCCACAACTGTCATCCCCCACGAAATCTTGGAATCCACGATTCGCGCATTCCCTCGACAGCAGTCATTGCTCGATGCAAATTTATGCAGGAATTGCGTTTTGTAATTCCGCTTAAGCCCAGGCATTGAGATTGTTTGGTAATTGAACGGTCGGATAATCGAATGCGTGAATAATCGAGGTTCGACCGTGGTATTAATTTCACTCTTGGCATCGTTTCCGCGATCGCCATTCGGGTATAATGCTCGGAACTTTCTTCTGCAGCCTCCATTTTCATCTGACTCTCGCCGCCATCTTTTCCACGCTCCGTCGTGGTGAACTCGTTGCATGATAACCATAGGTGGAATCGTCGCGCCACGTTTGATCGTATAGCCGTTAAGAGCCGTTGATAAAATGCACTTTGTTATAGCAATCGATCCACTTCAAGCCGGGTGCTCATGCGTAAGTGGTCGGACCTTCATTCATGACTCCGTGTGTTGATTCGTACAAGACGTTCGTTTCTGCCCTCGATTTAATGCTACGACACGTGCAAGTAGTCGCGACTAAATTTGTTTTCGATCCAACTGCCGAGAGTTTCGTCCGAATGTGTCAGAGACCGACTGGGATGGATATCGCGATACATTTTTCCTACAAGATGTGGAGTATTGATCCGGTTGTTTGCGAAGGAATGTTACGGTGGATCTAGAGCTGCGTATATAACTGCCACGTTACATTGCGAAATTATGGAACTTATTAACCCTCTATAAACACATACAACCTTTCGGTCGCGACCCCTAAGGGGTTGCAAAGTGTCGCCGAGGTTTTAAAATGGGAATTTTATTACGCAGGTCTTTGGGATTTGTTGACTTTATTCCTGGCTTTAAGGGCGAATTTCCCGAATAGAGTAGGTGTGATTTAAGATTTATCATGGTGGATAATTAACCCTTTGCAATCGAGAGGCGCCTTACAGTCGCCATTTGATCAAATTTCGAGGCTTGACATTAATTAATATTTCAAATTTAAAATAACGTAACAGTGTGCGAGGTATCGAAATTAAATAATCCTACGTTTTAATTATTATACGATTTCTTATTTACTCCTCAAAAAATGTCATCAGCCATATAGCAGATAATTTTTCAACTCGTACCCTTCTTTAACCAAAAAATCGTTGAACACAGAGGGTTAAAGGACCAAATATAAATAAAATTATTACTTTGGGTATTAAATCAGAATTAAATTCTGAGATACATTTTTTAATTTGTTTTCTTCAATATATTACTATTTCCTATCTTTTGTAAACGTTAGGGTAGAGGATTGAAAATTATTTGGATAATATAAAAGATTTGGAAATACTTCTCTTAGGTTAGTTATATTTCTTAACCCTTTGCACTCGACGATTTTTTCGTTACAGGAAAATAGCAATTCGAAAACCTTCTGCCATAAAGTCGACGATATTTCTAAAACGGTAAATAAGAAATCGTATGCAAATTAAGACGTAGCATTATTTTACTTCAATATTCGTTGGGTAATTGTAAATTTGATATATTAATTAACATCTATCTTTGGAATTTGATTAAATAACGACTGAGAGTACTTTACACTCGAGTGCAAAGGGTTAATTTTCCTTTTATTATTTTTTCTTTTTATTATTAGCCTACTATTATATTATATCGTTGTATCATTTTATTGATACTAATAGTCCATGTACGTGCCAATTCTTGATTCCTAATTTTTATTTGAATTACAATATTAATTAATCAATTTATCAGTGATATAAATAATTATAACACGATATTATAATTGTAATTAAATTATTATTTAATTTTTATCGTTCATGAAATACATAGACATTAAAGCATAAAGCATAAACATTTATAATCAGTTCCTATTAATTTTTCACGAGGAAATAAAGCTCCGGTTACAGAGGGTTCGAAGGCAAATAGAGGGAGAGAGTGCTACTAAATTTAAATAATAGCTTTCGCGTTACACATAGCACTACTGGAGGTATGTATTATCCATCAAGTGTCGTGTAGAGATCAAACATAGTTAGAAAACATTGTTACGCAACATGTTGCCAGTCAGACCAAAACAGTGTATAGTATAAAGCGATTTCAAAACATTTGCCAACTTCCTCAACGTTTGATGTCATTATCAATAGGTGCGTGCGAAACGTTTTGCAAACTTGTCACAATGGGAAAGATATCACCTGGTATCGCAAGTTATAAAAATACGTTGCACAACGAAGTAACGAAAAAGACAATTCGTTACATAACGATGTTACGTTGTACAGCATGGACTCGGTTTAAATGTGCTCGGTTGGGTTTCAATTTGATATAAGGATCAAATACGTGATCAGATTATCGGCGAAAAAGGGCATTCTGGACAAATATTTGCCAGATGTGAACAATGTTTTCACATCTCGTAATTCATTTGCTGACGTAAAACTTTTTATCTACCTCGAGAATATTTTAATTCAAACAGAACTTTATGTTAACTTTCTTTGTACAATTTATGGAAATTAAAAATTTTATTTGTAAAATTTAGATATTTTAGAAATTTAATATCGCGATAATAATTCTCAAAATTTTTAGATTAAAATTAGTTTAATAATTTTGGAGATTTTCGGAGTTTAATTAACGATTTTAGATAGTTTGGAAATTTAATATTGCATCAGAAATTTTAGAAATTTTATTAACTTAATATTACATATTAGTCATTTTTGAGATTTCAGAATATATAAAATACATTAATAATTTTTACAAAATCTGAGGAACCTGTGAGTTTGTTAAAATAATAGCTCAAATAGTCCTTAGTAGTATATTTTAGAATCACATAATGTTTATTTTAATATTTCGACTTGATTCATCTTCGTCACAGATCTGTTCGATAACCATCAGTAATATGCAAATTGGAGGCAATAATTTTTTCCGAATTATCATCGGGAGAAAGTTGTTACTCTCAAAGCAGATGTTAAATCTGCTGAAAGCAGTGTTACTTAGCCTTCCAAGTTCGAAACTAATTTAAACCATCGAACAATACGAAGAACGCAAATATCAAAGAGAAAAGTTAGGTTTAAAAGTGGAGCAGCAAACTTCGTATCTTCGAAAACTGCATCTTCTTGGACTCGCGAGTTTCTGGGCGAACTGCTTAACGAATCTCAGAAAGCGCGAAGTTGTTCATTTCGTGCATCCGCACAAAGGCAGCCCCGATCCTCCGATATCGAAATTAATAATTTGCATGTTTATTACTCCGATGGAATTTGATGAACGCGTCTGCGTTATTAAAAGCGTTTGTTGCTCCGGTCGATCGAATAACAGGGAGCAGTGTTGTTACCTAGGGACGATCCCTGTTTTCCTCCATTTTCCGATTTTCGTGTGCCAGATTTTTCCTCTTTTACGTAATTATTTCACGGTTATCTTTTAACCGCCTATTAGTTTCCTTTGTGATCGTTACACCTGAATTTTGGTAGCCTCGAACGAGATCGATGGTTCCAACAATTATGGTTCCTGCAATTATGGTTCTAACAATTGGATTGCAACAATTACGATCGAATTTGTCTATTATATAATATCTCGTATCTTCGTTTACTTAGATATAAAATTTTGCTATTAAAAATTCGACTATTCTTCTATTCTATTAAAATTTATAATATTAAAAAGTTACGGTGATCGAGAAGATAATTATAAAATTAAATTTCAATCGTTCGAACTTTACTTATGTAAATTTTTTTATTTCCTCTGCTACGCTGTAGAAAGAGCTTGAAGCTTTCCTTCCTTGAAAACATTTGGAAAAAATGAAAAAGAAATATAGGGAAAAGAGAGAATGATTATATAGACTTTTAATGACTACGCGAGGAAAGAGGGTCGCTTGATTACAAAATTTGATAACTTGAAATTTGGTTTGAATGAATACAGAGTGTTACACCGAGTATCGGCAGTGTCTGAGCCCAAAGGGGCAGCTCTACTTGAAGGCCGACAACGAGGGTAAGCCTGACCTAACCTTTAATCATCACTTCCGCAGGAGCCTTGTATCATCATGCCATATGTATCACACCGACACACACACGCAGTCACACTCACACGGTTCACGTACACACGATATTATGCTACCATCTTAACCCGATCCGTGTGTCCCTCTCACGTTACTGTACTTCTAGAAGCTGCCACTGCTTGCTTGCTTGCTTTTTCCGCGTTCAGATTTCGACCACGAGTCTCTAACCGGTTCGACCCGCGTGCTCGGACATTTTCGTTCCAATCACTTCGCTGTTTTATCGACCCCACGTCAGAATTCGAGAGAAAAAGACGAGAGGCCCACTCGAACCGTTCCTCCACATCGTTCACCAACCCACCGACCCACCATTGTTACATTGTTCGATGTAATTCTCCGTGTAAACGATAATACAGGATGCTCCACGATCCTGTATAAACGAATAGATCTGGAACACGATTTAGCGTTTCTGCTGCACGAAGCTTTGTTTTTCGAAGAAATCGATCCACCGGATTGGGCCACGAGATCTATACCCTCGTATTAGGACTAGTACATACACCAGCGATCAATCTTCTCATCGAAACGAAGCTTCGTGTCTAAAAATTACTCTGTATTTTCCATCTCTTTGTTACCGCAACATCTGCACTTGGATTTAACGATTCCGTTTATCAGTGTTTATCGATGTTCCGTAGATTCCATCTATATATTTTATATTGTCTGTACCATCTTTTCATCCACGAAGTAGCTATAACACGTGTAACCCCCAACGCTGTCAATTAGCCCTTTGAAAGAGAGGAACAGCTGTTCCCAATCGCAGACACGATGAGCCAGTATTTAACCACCTCGCGACCAATTTCCTCCCCTGTTTTGTTACACAACAAGGCACCGCAGTGTCCAGAGGAAGTCGTTGGAAAACAAACGCGGAACGGCGAACGTAGGATCGCGAATGACAGCGATCAGACACCCCTTTATCCTCGACGAGCGTGCTAGTCAACGAGGTTAACGTTGAATTGTCGAGACACAGGCACGCCTTGACAAATAATCGTTGAGAAAATGGTTCGCAGGGCCTAGCCTACGCCCTGACCCGTTCTAACTCGATTCTTTGATACAATGACACAAACACAGGTCTGTCTTCCTCTACGAATAACGGCGACGACGATAACGTTCTTATCGTCGATCTGATGGCAGATGCTGCACACCCCGACATTACTCCGCCGATAACGATCCTTGTCCTATTTGTCTGTGTTCTTTCGATAGGGCTGACGTCTCCGAGCTGCAATTTCCCTTTCGAGGACCTGACCGACGCCGAGGATTCGCTAGTGAGCGATACGGAGGACAATATCGGTACTCGTATGCCTGCCACATCCGCATAATAACGAGAACCGGGGGTAGAGACGACATGGAAAGAGAGAGAGAGAGAGAGAGAGACGTATAAAGAATCGTTTCGACTCTTCGTAATATCGTTTGGTCCGAATGATCGGATGGAAAGGTAGACGCACGCGTGATGCTCGAATAGGGTAAAAAAGACTGTTCAATTCTTGTCGCGACGAGCCGCGACGTCCTATCGACAACTGCTATATCGTTATGCTCCCGAGACAACGCGGAGATCGATTAAAACGTTCGCGGTTTGCTTGTTTTCCATGCAATGACACGCATATTCGTTCTACCCCCGTGTCGTTCGATTATGTCAGCTTCAGAACAACACGTAGTGTCTGCGTAGACACTCCACTTGACCTACGTGGGGTAGTTTGTTCCTGTAAAATCGTTGTGCAGGCTCGCGTAGTGACAGATACACGTTGTGTCGTCGAGCTGCCTAATATCTCAAGAACAAGACAGAAAGGCCCACCTGTTTTCTTTCCTCCTCTTTTCAGTTTCTTTCTTTGTCTTATTGGTTCCCAGTTTTATTTACGCTGGTCTGTTCCCCGTCGTCGACGTGCCCCGTTTTGTAGAGTGTACGAATGAGTCCACTTCTGCTTCGTTCTAGGGCTCCCATTATTGAAGGGTTCATTACGATTTTCCTTTCATACTTGAAATCTTGCATAACTCTTTTCCCGGATATTTTTCGTACTTCACGATTCCATCCATCTATCGAATTTAGGTGGATGGAAGAGCAAGATGAAGAATAAATTATGCAAATACACTTGCTGATGAGTGTCGAGGAAGAATATAATAGATTGCGAATTTTTTCATATTTTTTATATATTATTTTTATGTATTATGTACGTATTAATTCTTATTTCCAACGTGAATCACGTGTACGCGATTCGTGGAAACACGCCTGTATGCGAAAATAAACCTCATCCGAGGTTTTCAATTCTTACAAAAGACGCGGTAGCATGTGTATTTGTCAGACGATTTTAAACGAGACTGTCCCGAAGTAATTCCGCAGTTTTCAAATTGTCAGCTTTTACGCGTAATAAACTCTTCAATGTTTTCCTTGTTTGGTCTGATTGCGTTCGAAAATTGCCCGATTGTTGGGCTTGTCTGTGTCGTCATTGTTCGTAGCGGTAGACTAGCCTGTCTCTATGTGTCTGCCTATATGTATGCCTTTGTGTTTGTTTTATCGTTTGTTATCTGTGGTGGACTGTTACGTCATCGATACTTTCTGTCAATTATTTAAGGAATACACATCGTGGTACCCGTACGTAAGTGTCTAGCTGTAACACCGATACGCGGCTCACACATGGACACAATACATCATCGTAAGCTTGTAACGATGTGTCGTTGTTACACAATTTTCACGTCATCGATTTGAAACGTTGCAGACCACGCGATATTCGATACTTCCAGACCCGTGTCGTTTTTGTCAAAATTGACATCGCAAATTGAACGACGAAACGAGAACGAGACCCCGATATTTACAGTTGTGTTTACAATTTGTAAGAAATATTATTTTTAGAAACACGCTTTCGAAGGCGCCGTGCACGTCGAAATTTATTCCAGGTACGCCGAACAAACGAGATCAAATTTTAATTATTTCGGGATCGATAAGCGAGCAACCGAGATAAATGAGAAAAGAGAAAAAGGGCGGACGTAGTCGAGTGTTACGTGCTCGCACGAATTTCAAGATTTCCATCGTTAAAAATCAGACGAACCCAGCAGTACAGCGTGCGAAGCGCACAACGGGGTTCGTTCGCGATGAAAATTCGAACGCGCCGATAAAAAGGAGATTTACGAGCGCGATGAAATTATGCTACGAGAAAACGGCACATCCAGCTTCGAACGACGGTACCCTGGTGTCGGTTTAAGACGACACACGATCACGATACTTCTTTAATCTGCAATTTGCGAGCGGCCATGAATGCGAAATGATATCCGCGATTCATCTTCCTTTTACACCCTTTACTGAGAAATCGCTGGAAAAACGGTGAAAATTCATTTTCTAGCTATTGCACGGTTTCACGGACGCGTAATTTTGCAAGTTTTCTGCTCGAATTTAGCCACGTTTGAACGTTTGACGCACCCAGTTACGCGCGGGTGGTTCGAATCGCGCGGGCTAGCGGTACGCCATGTTGGCAGCGCGAGTCAATGGCGGAGACGCGGCGCGCGAAGATTTGAAACGCAGCGGACGAATGTTGATTGTTCGACGATAGAATGTTCTTTTATCAACGATATTCCACTGCATAATTATTCATAGAATTCACGAGAGAAAACACCGTTTTGACGATAGATATCATGCATGCACGTTTCTTCTCGCACAGAGTTCTTGTACTTTTTCGTAACAAGGATCACCTCACGCGTGTGAACGTTATCTGTACTTTTTATATTACCCTTTTTTGGCACTGGATTTTCAAATTTCATACTCCGTGTTGATATATATCTTCGTTTCGTTGCACAGTTTCACTTTTTTCTTGTTCACGTATGATTCGATATATATATAGCTCGATATATTTCCCTTATACGTATCTCACGCTATACACGTTATATTTCACACTCTCTGTGTATTATAATTTCGACCTACTTTTATGCATTTTCGCGCGATTCCGGTAGGTGCAAGTTCGTGAGATGGACGGGGTCTCCTTTACCTAATATATATGCTAATTAGCTCTTTCTCTGACTTTTTAACGTAAGCAACGTTTATCTTTCGCTAAGAGACTTCGTAAACAGCACATTCTGATTCGCGGATTCGCTTGCCTGTGAAATTTCTCAGATATTGCAAATAATTGTTAAATAATAAATAAGTAACTTTTATTTCGCTCTATATCGCATATACAGATAGGATAAATATCTCATTACACTTACACTGAATTGTCAATGTGAATGTTCTTAAGATATACTCTGCTTACTTGAATGTACAATATATTTCATTTAATCGTCTTTGTTTTGTTTCCTTTTTAATGTTTCTCCTATGTGTATGATATTTATACTATGTTTATTATACTGTTTGAGGATGGTTTAGTAGAAAGAGAAGCCTAATTATCTGCCTTTATTATCGTTATATCAAAATTGCCTCAGATATTAGTTTTCATAATTGCGATTTTCAATTTCCCAAACGAGACTCGGCATATAATTTCGCATTAAACATTCATCTATGTTACCTATGATTAGTATATTTTTATTTGAAATTAAACGTGATTAATTAATTTAACTCTTTGCACTCCAAAAATATTTATATTTCATCGATCAGCAGCTCTAACACGATTTTGCAATATCAGGTACTTTAAAACCAAAAGTTTTATTTCGAGAATGAAAATATTATTCCTTTGCGCTCTACTGGTGTCATTATACAAGCAGTAATAATCCATCGCGTATTTTATTTAATTCTATGTTCATTGATAAATCTAGAAAAGTGACTAAGGCTATTACAAAAACAGATTCACAAAAGAAGCTTCTCGCTATTAACACTAGAACTACCATAGAGGTTAAAGTGATTTATTTCGGACATTTAATTTTCGACATTGCTGAAATTATGCAGCTGCTTATGGTAAAAATTATACCGATTTTTGTTCGAATAGCGTTAGCTATGCTAACGTAATAGCGTAATTACATATGCTCTTTTATTTTCACTATGTCATATTAATTAATACCAATTGCATGCATTATATTTAGGTACACATTAGAGCCCGGAAGTTCTAGTGTTAAAAAAAAAAAACTTAAAATTGGAAATCGAGGGAACGAAAAAATTCCTATTTTACAAAAGAGTTATAAATATCCGTAAATTTATTCGAACTACAACCTTCGTCACTCTTTGATTTTTGCCAATGAGAACGGGACTAAGTATCTAATCGCAGGTTCTCGATACCTCCGCAGTGGCGCCACTGGAGTACAAAGGACCAGAGTCAGTCGCGCGGTGATTATTTTCGAGCGATTCAACGGAGAAATTCGACGAAGACTTTATTATCGCAAAATTCAAGCCGGCATTGAAATGACGACGGTTTCTCGCGAAAGTATTATTAGAGGAAAACGAAATCGCTATTCCGCGTGCAAGAGTCTTTCGGCTCTGCATCTTTAACGAGAGGCAGGATAATTAGGTATTCTGTTTCAGCTTGAACGTGCGCAAAATGCTACGATAATGATACAAACACATGCAATAAAGATGTCTCGCGCGTTTGTGTCGTTTTTTGCTTTGTTTGCCTTGACAAGCGCATCCCTGTCGTTCACGTTTCTCTAAATACGTTCGTTTCTCAATGCCCAACCTTCTGCAGCTTCGTGTTCCGTTTCTGCAACCTCCACCAGCCCTAGATCATTGTTGTCTGTACGTTTTTCTACGATCAGCACGCTGCCATTTTGCAAACAATATGCTCGTACAGTGTGCTAGATGCGGCCATGCGTTCTCTATTCTCACCGAATGTATATCATTTGTTTCGCATTTAAATATACCACACATACGTTTAGCCGGCATTACACATACTCAAGCTGGTCCAGTCGATCTAGCATTCACGAGATAACGAGCAGACTATACTTTCTTTCTCGCTCGTCGAGTTTCGATCGTTCAAGCCTTCCAACTGCGTCAAATTCCGCTGGCATTCTTAACCCTTTCACGGCCACGATGCATTATTTTTCCGAGAGCGTCTATTATTTATCCGTCAACCACCGTCATTGGGTAGTCGTTGCAGTGAAAACTCGAAATCAATCGGAACTAGTTTCCACCGGATAAGATTATTTTTAACCGAGGCCTCTGGTAGCTTTAACCAAGGACTACTCAAAACTAGTACTGACTGATTTCGGATTCTGATTGTGACACGGATAACACATTCGCTGCTTGCGTCACGTGTGAGTCATTCGCAAATCTAAGCAATTAACTGCATTTTTAAACGTCTTCTTTCATTTTACAGTCACTCACGAGTACTTAATTCGTGCCTAGTTTTCTGTATTTCAAATAAATTTCTATTTCTTCGTATTTCCATCGAGATCGTTGATTTCTGAGTCTCCGATGTGACACGTATGCGATGACAGTCAGTATTCACGTTTTCGCTGTAAAAGGGAAAATTTCGATGGGAAGAGGAATTTTTAAATTCGAAATGTAATTCACGGGCTCTGGTTGAAATTTCTTCTTCGTCATATAGCAGCTGACGTGATATATAGATAAAAACGAGATTGATTTTTATTTTTAATCGATTCCTGTTTTTCCTCCCTGCGAGCAACCTTGTATCTCTTATTTTAGAAGAGCGAAACGAGTTTTGAGAGATAACTGATTTCCCCGGTTATTTTTATCCAAATTGATATGTTTCTATACGTCCAAGAAATTAATAAATGAAACAAAATATTTCTGTTTTATAAAGGAAGTAAGGTTATTTGAAACGAATTGCAGTAATAAAGTGGTATAATAACCGTCACTCGACTGTACACGAATTTTCACGGTATTGAATATTCGAAAAGGCTCGACAACCGAGACGTAAAAATGGACTTGGATACACGTGGTTGAAAATTGGAATTTGTCACGGGTAATTCGAGTGCCCGTATAGAGCATATGCGCGGAGATTTCGAAAAGTCAGTCCAAATAGTGGTACGAAAGCCGCAAGCTGATTATTCAAATGTGACATGTCCCGTTGGCCATGAAAGGGTTAAATTATTCGGAATACAGATTACCCGCATCTTGTTTTTTCTCCACGGCTTTCTTCTTTTACCCCCTCACTCGAACCTCGAACGATCGAATCCCGTTTGTTCCATTCGGAATACGAAAATTTGCACGAGAAATTGAGGAGAAATTGACGAGAAATCGTCGATCTACGCCCGTCGTGCGAAATCGATCTCGCATCCTGCGTGCTGTTTTCCAGCGTGAGGAAAAACGCTGCACACCCGGTGAAAGAAACTCGCGGAAACGCGGCCGCGTGAACGAGGGCTTGTTTACGAACCGTTTGATAACCGAGGCGAGAAGTTGGCGCGAACATGGAACTCCTCGTTCGAAGTCGAACGACGAAGTTCCGGGGCCGGTCCTAAAGTTTCTTCCAACCTAACGATCGACTGCGAACTTCCGAAGCAATCACTGCCGGCTCGCTTCCACGTTTGCCGAATATGCCAGCGTGTTTTACATACGTCTGACGATGTTCTTGATCGTGCAGGTCGTGTCGGATGTCCACACTTCATGGCGCCGGAAGTGATCCAGCGCAGACAGTACGGGAAGCCTGGTGACGTCTGGTCAGCCGGAGTGCTGCTCCATGTCCTATTAACCGGTACACTTCCATTCGTGGGTTCTCGAGACAGACTGCGAGAAGCGATCTGCAGAGGACGAGTACAGGTAGAAATTGACCGTGACACGCTGCTTTCCTCAGTTTCTTCTCACTAGACCGGGCGAGAAGAGCAACAGAGGCCCTCTCTCCGACCATCCTCCATGCCTGCTACGATAAATTCATGAGCTGTTCGTAAATCTTGCAGATGGAAACGCCATTGTGGGACAATATCAGCGAGCCAGCGAAGGATCTAATCCAAAGAATGCTCACAACGGATGTAAATCACAGGATTACCATACAGGAAGTGCTGAACCACAAATGGCTCAGAGTAAGTCCAGTCGCGTATCATCCAGCCTGGACCAGGGATTAGCCTTTTGTGGTCCTAGTCTCATTCGACACTACGTTTCATACTATTATTGCAAATGCTACTCGAAATTTCATTCCAATTTCGTATTTTCGTCATCCATATTGCATCTATGATGTACTATGCTGTTGAAAAATTTCGAGTCACTATGGATGATCGTAATTTATTTGAAGTACTGATAATTAACCCTTTGCCTCTCAGTCGCCATTTAATCGAATTCTAAAGTTGGATTTTAATTAATATATCATATTTACAATTACCCGACGAATATCGATGTAAAATAATTCTACGTCTTAATTTGCATACGATTTCTTATTTACTGTTTTAGAAATATCGTCGACTCTATGACAGAAAGTCTTCGAATTACTATTTTTCTGTAGCGAAAAAGTCGTGTAAAGGGTTAAGACCAAGATGAAAATAAATAGACTTGTTTTCGATTATGTACAGTCACGTTTGGTATTTATACGAATAACAACATTTCATTATCTTCT